CTATATTAAAAGGATTATTTCTGTTCTTCACTCCCTACAGAGAGATTAAAAGCCGAAGTGCTATTGAAACGATTTCCTCCTCCAAAAAAAAAAAAAAAAAAGAGAAAAAGAATAGAGGAGAAGGGGAGAGAGAAGCTCCTATGAGAGAGGGAGTCTTGACGAGGTATGCCTGATCTTCCTTCGCCGCGTGACGAACGTCTCCCGACGCGGAGGTTAGTAGGAACGCGGGGGAGGCTAGACGTACCAAAGGGAACCTCGGCAGGATAAACCAGTTCCTCCCATTTCCCGTGGATCGATGAACACCTTCTGCCAAAGCAGAAGGCTAGTAGGGCCACGAGCATGGGACGACGAAGCAGGGAATCCCGACGTGGATAAACCAGTGACCTCCTTGCGATCGTTGGATGACCGAACGTCTTCTTCGAAGTAAGAAGATTAGTAGGACCACGACAAGGACGAACGAAGCCTAGTTCCTCCCCCTGATGAGCGCATGACGAAAGCCTTCTGCGAAGCCAGAAGACTAGTAGTTCGCGGCTGGGGACGAACGGAGATAGGGAACGAAAATATAGTTAAAAATATTTTCATTGACTAGAAAATTGAATTAGTATATATTGATGATTTTATACGGCCATCTAGATAACAATTGGATTTTCTACTTTAACATGAGAGATAACCAAATAATTAAATATTAGTAAATAAATTCTTTCTCTACTTATTTGAATGATTTTATACAGTTTTGGTAAGTTTCTTTCCATAATGTCAATGAGACCATCTAGATGTTAAACATTGTAGGGAAAAACTAACTAAAATTGCATAAAATCATTCAAATAAGGAAAAAAATAATTCATTTGCTAATATTTATGTGGTTTTCTCTAATGCTACATGTGCACCGTAGACATTCTAGCATGGGAGATGCTCTAAGCTATTATAAATTTACTATGTCTAAGCTACTATTATAATCACTACACTTATGAGGTCACATTTTGATAAAGAACATATATATTTTTGTCATAGTACATGTAATTAGCTCATTTTTATAACATTTTATTGGAATAAAGATAATTACCATATTTGCGGTGTCTTGGACTCTTGGGGGCTTTTACCTTTATGAAAAGAGAAAATTACCTACATAGGACTAAAATATATCATTTATGCACAAATAGGAGTGCTGCTTAACGAGAAGTTTAGGGGGACTAAATAGCATGTGTCATGACATAAATACCTTTACTGAATCCCTGAGCTTAATGAGATCGGTTCTGTAACTAATACGGCCCAACACCTCCTTTTCAAAACTCGCGCCTACATTAATTACTCAGCCGTTAAGCAGTTGATTGAATCAATCGAGAGAGTCCAAAGCATTCAATGGCGGATTCCGATACGCAGAAGGCATTAGCGGAAGAAAAAAAGTAAAATACATCATCTAAAGTTGTAGGAGGAAGCAAAACGACCAGAGAAGAGCCTAAAATGGCGGATTCCGACTTCGAATCAACAGGCCAAAAAGTAAAAATGAGGCGAGACCTGGTACGATTTTATGTTGTCAATATCAACATTGTTTGATTCGTAAATGGAAATAGTGACGATGTTTGTTTGAATTCGAAGTCTGGAATGATATTGTTCTGCTAATAATTGTATATTATTGTCATTTTTGTGTGTCTAGTGCTTGAACAATGGTTTGTGTGTGGTTTTCGTTCCTAGTGCCATATTTTCCTAATATTTGTGTACTGAATCAAGTTTTATTAGTTGAACTGAATGTGTTATAGAAGAGATGATAGCCATGGTTGTGCGATTTAGGTATTTAGGAATGACATTTTTGGACTTACAAATGAGATCATTTGAATTTTTGTCATATATATACATACATACATATATATATATATATAGTGATGCTTTCAATTCATAGAAGGTGAAGCACAATTTCAAAGTAAGTTTTATGGTGAATCTCATCTGAAATGGAAATAATGATAAAAATTATGTCATTAAAAGATATCTTAAATAGTGATGTCAATATGTAAAATAAAAATGATGGTATGTAGAGTACTGGGTTAATGTGTTATAATGCCTATATTTGTTATTAAATGTCATATTATATTGAAACTGTAAAACGTATACAGAATGTGCTTCTTTTTTAATACAACTGAATTGTCTTGAATGTCATCTGAAATGGATATACCATGAAAAGGATGACATTTAATGACATGTTAATTATAATAGCTTTTTTAAATCATGTGCACTAATACCATCTTTTTTACTGTACTTCAAATGTAAATCTACATGGAAATATTGATATAATTAAGTGTTTACTGCAGACTATAACGAGGACATGTTATAGAGGATTGCTGGATAAGTTTGAAAAAATGCGTGTGAATTGCTTTTGCAATTTGAGTGAGGTTGGTAAGCGAATCAAGGAAAAGTTGAATGAAGAAGAAATAACACTTTTTAGAAGTTCAGTTTTAGGCTGGATTCTAGATATAGAACATATGCCACGATTAAGTGGGCAACTCAACATTTGTTTCGTAGCAAACTATATTGAGGAGTTCAATGGTAACGTTGAAAAGGATGTTATAAGATTCCATGTAGCCAATAGTCTGATAAGCTTTACAAAAGCAGATTTGGCAATAGTCATCGGTTTGAAGATAAATGGGGTGAAACCGGCAGTATCTGATAACGTGGGTGAGGATATGTGCAGAAGGTATTTTGGTACCAAAGAAGTAATAGTGAGGCAGGATATTGTTCAAGCTTTGGAGAGGTACAACAGAAACAATCCAGGAACAGAAGAGAATGATGGTCTTAAACTAGGACTACTCTATGCTTTAGCACATGGATTGTTTGGAAACCAATACGCGATTCGCTTGCCAGGGAAATATATTAACTTGGTACAAGACTTAGATGCATTCAATTCTTACCCTTGGGGTGATGATGTCTGGGATGATCTAGTCGCAAATATGAAGAACAACGCAGAAGCACTCAAGTTCTGCACACGTAAAAGAGTGGCGTTCACAGCTTGTATGCAAGCAATACAAATCTGGGCCTTCGAGACCTTTCCAATATTGGCTAATGAAAGGCTATGCTATGTTATAAAAGACAAAGAAAATGTCATTCCTAGGACATTGAAGTGGGCTTTTCACAAGAAACCATCAATACAAAAGTTTTGTGAACTCATTTTCAGTAATGACAAGGTAATTTCAATTAAATTATGCACAATTATTTATGTAAATAGTTACATTTCCATACAGTGAATACGTCATATATTTTTTATCTAAGTTTAATTGCCAATGTTACAGTTTGAGTGGACAAAAATAGTTCCAAGTGCAGATGAGATCCAAAGAATCCAAGGACTTGTAGGAGGGGAAAGCAATGAAGCAAAGGACCTGAGAATTGATGCAACCATAAAGAACACAAAGCAGAGCAAAAAGGATGCAAGAGGAAAAAAAGGAAAAGAAATACATAGAGCAAATTCAGGAGGAAACAATAAAAGAAAAAAGGCAGGACAGAAAGAAAAAGGAGAGTGCAGTAGGCGAGTGTTGAGAAAAAAAGGTAAGGTGGTTGATAGTGAAGAATCTAGGTCCAATGAAAGTGGGGATGAGTCAAAGGCAGGAAAGGGCATAATCATGAAGACACTAGCCAAGCAGTCCAAAGAAATTGCCAATATGCGTGCAGAGATAAAAGAAATGAAAATAAATCAAGATGCAATGCTAAAGAAGATTCTGAGTCTTGTGAAGGAAATATCAAAGACAAAAGGAAAGAAGGAAGTGATGAAGGACAGAGAGGACATGGAAGATGAAGCTATGAAGGATATCAGTGATGAGCACAGTAGCACGGATGGCAATGAGAGTGAAAGCTCTGAAGAAGATTCTCAGGAGAATGACAAGGTAATGAAATAAAAATGTTAATTTCCATATGAGAAGCTTATTTCCTATTTATATGGCATTAAATACCAAAGGTTGAGTACATATATAAAATGAAGTTAATATTTGTTGTAGGATGAAGCTATGAAGGATGTGAGTGATCAGAAAAGTAGCACGCCTGACAACGAGAATGAAAGCTCTGAAGAAGATTCTCAGGAGAATGACAAGGTAATGAAATAAAAATTGTAATTTGCATAGAACACACTTATTTCCTATTTATATGGCATTAAATACCAAAGGTTTAAGTGCATACAGAAAATGAAGTTAATATTTGTTATAGGATGTGAGTTATCAGAAAAGTAGCACACCTGACAACGAGAATGAAAGCTCTGAAAAAGATTCTCAGGAGAATGACAAGGTAATGAAATAAAAATTGTAATTTGCATAGAAGACACTTATTTCCTATTTATATGGCATTAAATACCAAAGGTTAAGTACATATATAAAATGGAGTTAATATTTGTTACAGGATGAAGCAATAAAGGATGTGAGTAATCAGAAAAGTAGCACTCCTGACAATGAGAATGAAAGCTCTGAAGAAGATTCTCAGGAGAATGACAAGGTAATGAAATAAAAATTGTAATTTGCATAGAAGACACTTATTTCCTATTTATATGGCATTAAATACCAAAGGTTAAGTACATATATAAAATGGAGTTAATATTTGTTACAGGATGAAGCAATAAAGGATGTGAGTGATCAGAAAAGTAGCACTCCTGACAATGAGAATGAAAGCTCTGAAGAAGATTCTCAAGAGAATGACAAGGTAATGAAATAAGAATGGTACTTTCCATATGAGACACTTATTTCCAATTTATATGTCATTAAATACAAAATGTTGACTTACACATATAAAATGAAATTAATATTTGTTGTAGAGGGGAAGCAGAAAGATGAGCAGCAAGCTGATGATACAGAAGTTGACAATGAAACAATTGCCCAAAGAATTGCTAAAATGAAGAACAATGCTCCAAATTTTAATCTCTTAAGTCAGACTCATGAAGGAAAAGAGCTAAGTGAAGAGACAATTGCCCAAGGAATTGCTAACATGGAGAACGATGCTCCAAATTTTAATCTCTTAAGTCAGACTGATGAAGGAAAAGAACCAAGTGAAGAGACCCAAGGAATTGCTAACATGAAGGACGATGCTCCAAATTTTAATCTCTTAAGTCAGACTGATGAAGGAAAAGAACTAAGTGAAAAAGAAGAAATCATGATTAATTTGACTGGGAGTAAAAGAAACACAGAAGGTGGGCCACAGAAAGAAAAGGTAACAACATACAAACTATTGTACTTTAATTCCATAATTGTAACTTATATGGCAATAGGTGTACAACAGAACACGAAGGATTTAATGCCAGTAACATGGAAATAGTGGCGTTGTGTAGCACAATGGAATATTAAAATTATATTGTATGCAAAATTAGGGTGAAGTGATCTAAATATTACATGATATGTGCACTGTAATGAAAATTTAATGAGATAGCTAAGCATTTTTTATGTAATTTTATGCAGACCACAAATAATATTGAAGACGGTAAAGAACAGGCAGAGGGATCTGGAAAGGAAAAGGATGAAAACAAAAAACAAAAAATGCAAAGTGATCAGAAAACTTCTGAGGAAGCAGACAATGAAATTTGGAGTCAGGAAAACTCACAATTCATTAGAGAATTGGTTATGAATGCCGAAATGACTGAAAGAATAATGCTTGGAAAAGGAACCTTGCAAGAGGACAAGGAAACAGAAGATAAGGAGACAGAAGATATTCAAAGCAAAGTGCAGGTGATGACAGTAATTTCAATCTAAACTTTACATTATTACATTAATGTCATGTACAGTGAATAGATTACTGACTTGAGCTTGTTTGTTGTTGACTAAAACTGAAAGAAAACATCTACAAAAACTCAAAGGACAAAAAGAAGAGCCAAATCTCCAGATAGATACACACCAGCGGGGCAGAGTGCTGATGCAAAAAGAAGAAGAAAAGAAAGAGCAAAAAGAGTGGCAGAAGAAGAATTCTTACCACCATGTAAAGAGATGTATGGGCCGTTCTCAGAAGACCCAACAGACGCTATTGATCAAGAGGAAGTGAATAAATTCACAGAATACTTGAAGATTGGGCTGATGAAAAAACCAAAGAAGGAACACAACGTGATTAGAAGATACAAGGCCGACTACGAGATAATGTCCAGTAATCCTTTGATTTTGGACACCATGAAGATAGAGTTAAAAACATGGTTGCATGATCTGTTTGTAAACCACCAATGGCTGTCTGACAAGGTATAGTATATTATTCAATTTAAATTAATAAACATCATATTTTATTATTAACTGCTTTTCTGCTAGTAAATGTGTATATTGTGTTTTTATGTTCAAAGACATCTTAAATGGAAATAAAATGAAGAAGATGGCATTAGAAGACAGGTTAATTATAAGATATGGTTGTAATAATGTCCTTTAATACCATCTTTTTTACTTTATTAACTTTTTTTTGCAGCACATAGAAGTGGGGATGTATTATCTAGAACGCAAGCGAGTGCACTACAAGTTGAGGCAGAAATACACAACAACAGGACCTTTTTTCATGGAACTGCTCAAGAGGGAACATGATATGATTTTAGACAGAAAGACAACACTGAAAGACGCAGCAGAGAAGGGGAATATCTGCGAATACATTCTGGGGACTTCAACAAGCTACTCGCTGCACTGGGCAGGTGCTGACTTCGTCTATATCCCTTTGAACACTGGGTGTCATTGGGTGTTGTTGGTCTATGAAGTAAAGGCAAGGAAGATGAAAGTCTACAACTCGAACAAGAGAAGAGGTGAATCCCTACGTGACATCGTCGCATACAAAACTTGCATTCAAAATATGCTACCCAAAGTTCTAGATTACCACACTGTCTATGAAGCTATGGAAGAAGAACCAATGGGAGTGAGACAAATTTCTATTGAAAATGCTGAAGATTGCCCACAACAGGACACAGCGTAAGAAAAAAATTAATAACTTAGCTACATGAAATAATATTGTATGAAAAAAACTAATAGAAAGGGTGTTTGTTGCAGGGGAAATTGTGGAATGTTTCTTCTCAAAATTGCAGAGTTCCTAATGATGAATATGGACCTCAACGAACTGAATGCTGCAATGATGTATATGTTTCGAAAGAAAATGACTTTGGAGTTGATTCAATACAGCAGCAAAAGGCAGAACAAGATACAGGAGAAATAGAGCAAAAGGCAGACCAAGGATGTCTTTAATGAAATATGTGTTGAGTGAATGAGATTAAACAGACATGTAGTTGGGTTTGAATGTTTCCATTCTTTTACTGCTTTTTTACGTTTATTTCTTTTGTTTTGCAAAGCTACTTGTGTAAAACATAAGACATGTTGATTAGAATTGCTGAAACGTTGGCATATAGTGACATTTGGTTTACCTTGCTTGGAAATTATTGTCACTATATTTGGTCTTTAAATAACAAGTACATGTTTACATTAATGACATTACTTGACAAGTACACAGAAGAACTTGTCAATTATTGACACAAAATAAAGTACAGTAACATGTATTTTGAGGGAGTTTAAATAATAGTGACATTATTGAAAAAAATATACAAACAAAATAAAATAATCATTGAACAAAGATCTGAAGCTTGGTATACACAACCATTTGTAACAAAGACAATGCTTTCCAACAAAGACATAATATGTTTTATTACATCATATTACTTAAGAACGTATAAAAGAAGCATTTCCAATGTTTGCCAACAAAGACAATAATGACACTCCCTACTCTATTAAACAGTATCAATGTTTTCACGAGGAATTGGATTGCCACATGTTTTTTTGTTGTGTCCAACGGCATGACAACGAGAACACCTTCGACGTTTTGATCCACGAAACTCTCCAATAGAAGGAATTCTACATTTCTTTGGACGGCCAGGAGGTCTCTTCAAGCAATTTGGAGGCTTGCATGCAATGCTAAGAACACTTTGTGGAATTGACCATGAATTTGGATCCGGAATTGGATGCATGGTACCACTCCATGTAGACAGCCATGCGTCACGAGAATAATAAGGAGAAATGAAATCATAACAAGAGAGGCCTGGTCGAATACGAAGAGAAGCAACACCATGTACACAAATGAACTAATCCAACTGAAAGACACCACATGAACAAGTCTTCTTTGAAAGGTTAACAACAAATGATCGGCAATCCCTATCAACAACCTCGAACTCCAAATATGAAGATGGTTTCACCTAGATGGAGGGAAGTGTAAAAGTGTTACAAAATTCATTATAAAATAGAAAAGGTGAAACATTATTTGACATGGCACAAAATGTTCATAAGACAGTGCAGCATGGAATTAAACAACAACACAGAATGGCAATAGGTAACAAACTCCTATTCCAGAATACAAATGCACTTAAAAAGTGAACGTAATGCATAACCATTTAGGGAACCAAAAGTAATACCTGCATGTGTGTAGATGCATATTGCAATGACACCAAATTTTTTTCACGTTTACTTGACAAAATGATGTTTACAAAATAAAACAAAACAGATGACATTAACAGAAAAGAGGATGGCAATAATTACTAACAGGATCCATGTCAAACAATAGTGAAACTGTCACTAATTCAAAGACTAAATCATGATGAGTAGAATGGAATTATGAAATATTTGTTGAATTACAGTACATAAATAAAGAAATATGAATAACATGACATAAATTGCAGAGATTATCTATAATGAATTAACAATAACAACTATATTGTTGAAGCAAGTTCATAAAAACCAGAGTACTACAGCAGATAATTGATGAAGAACATACTGAAAAGCAACGTAAGCAATATGTATACTTACATAGAAAAGGTGAAACATTATTTGACATGGCACAAAATGTCCATAAGACAGTGCAGCATGGAATTAAACAACAACACAGAATGGCAATAAGTAACAAACTCCTATTCCAGAATACAAATGCACTTAAAAAGTGAACGTAATGCATAACCATTTAGGGAACCAAAAGTAATACCTGCATGTGTGTAGATGCATATTGCAATGACACTAAATGTTTTTCACATTTACTTGACAAAATGGTGTTTTTTTAGAAGCCTTTTCACTTCTTTCCGTGAACCACTTTTGCATGTGTTGACGTAAGAAATCAATGAGCTTAGATATGGAGCACTCTCTGGCAATGACATTAACATTATTCAGCGACTCTGCACAATTAGAGGTAAGCACACCAAATCTTCGTGGACCAGCCATACACCTAGCCCATCTATGACTCCCAATCTTATCTAACCACAGACGAATCTTGGAATTATCAGAATCTAACATAGCTAGGTATTCTTCATACTCAGGAATAGTAGCAGCCATATACGCAGCCTTAAATTTCCAGCCAATCCCATCACCAGAACTTCTGAATTTATGAATCAGATTACTCCTAAGGTGTTCCACACAAAACCCATGAATAGCATGTGGGAAAATTTCACCTGCAGCCTTGATCAGTCCTTTATGGCGATCTGAAACGATGTATAAATCATGACGGTACTTAAGAGTATCCCGCAACTTCATAAAGAACCACTTCCATGAAGATGTAGATTCAGAATCACATATGCCAAAGGCCAAAGGTACAATGTGTCTATTTGCATCTTGATCACAAGCTGTAAGCAATGTTCCTTTGTAATAAGATTTCATAAATGAGCCATCAACAATGAGAACAGGTCTACAAAACTGCCACGCATCAGTCCAAGCTGCGAAAGAAAAGAAGAATGACTGGAACATGTCATCAGCACCTATCGTAAGACTTATTGTAGATTCGGGGTTTGATTGCTCAAACATGTGGGCCATCGATGGTAAAAGTTGGTACGAGGCTGCATCTGATCCAAACTGCTTTTCCTTAGCAATTTTTTGTGCTGTCCAAGCTTTCTTATACGACATTGAAATTCCAAATTCCAAAGCCATGTCATTCCTTAACTGTTTGGGAGTATATGGTTTTGCTGAAGCATCAAGATATTTGTACGCAACCATATCTGCAATGATATCTGCTGTAGCCTGCCTGTGGTTACCTTGTCTGAAATCGACCGAACAAGTATGTGTAGGGCGAAACCTGGTATGCAGGAAACAGAATATTGCCATCACACAATCATGGAAATTGTACTGTAAATATGGCAATAAAGAACAAATATAATAAATCAATGTAGTAATTTGTGTGAATACCTTCTTATCTGAAACATATTGACTGCGGTTAATCTAACTGCGCGCACTGTCCATTTGCATCTTTCATCCTTACAAATGACATGAAGGCTATCTTTCTTTGATGTAAGGGTTCTATATTGAAAACTGTTATTGATTGCATACTTTTTCAAATGGTGGATAAGAGCCTTCTTGTCTTTATAGATGGCAAGAGGAATCAGACAAGTAGGATGATGATGTGTAATAACCTCAGCATTATGGTGAAGGGTAAAACTTTTAGAGGAAGACACTTTAGAACTAACAGAAGAAGAGATAGCAATTGAGGTCTCTGGAACATCAGAAAAATCAGATGATGAAGCATCATCATGTGGTTCAAGGTTGTGAACAACCTCATGATCAGAAACATCAACATGTGATTCAGTACTAGATTCGGACAACAACGAAGACACAGTTGAATTACTAGAATGAGGAACTGAGTTGTGAAGTAGTAAGGAAGATTCAACATCAACAACTTCATTACAAACAAACTGAATGCATAGAGGAAACTTTTCAAAATCAGTTTGAAGAACTTTAAGATGAAGATAAAATTTGAATGTCTGTTCATCATGAATACAAACTGGCGAGGGACATCCATCAACAACATAAGAAACTATGAAAGAATGGTTTGGTTTGTAGAGATTTAAGATTTCACGCATACTTTGAATGAAAGAAACATATGTCGCATCTGCACGAATTTGAATACCACACGTGTCCCTATGAGTGAAAGTACAATTACTCAACCATATACCATCCAGTTTGACCATAAGCAGCAAAACAGTATCCATTTTGAAGATATGATTGGCTAAAACAAAGAAAAACAAAGTGTTATGCAAAACATGACAAAAAAATATTTAAATCAGAAACAGAAAGAAAGACTATAAAATAAAAAGGAAAAAATGTAAGCTTGTACTTAACAGAGAATGATTCAAAGGAAGTTTACAAAATAAAACAAAACAGATGGCATTAACAGAAAAGAGGATGGCAATAATTACTAACAGGATCCATGTCAAACAATAGTGAAACTGTCACTAATTCAAAGACTAAATCATGATGAGTAGAATGGAATTATGAAATATTTGTTGAATTACAGTACATAAATAAAGAAATATGAATAACAGGACATAAATTGCAGAGATTATCTATAATGAATTAACAATAACAACTATATTGTTGAAGCAAGTTCATAAAAACCAGAGTACTACAGCAGATAATTGATGAAGAACATACTGAAAAGCAACGTAAGCAATATATATACTTAAATACGTAAAGAACAGCAACCTAAATTTTGCAAAACAATTTCGCAATACTACAGAACTATAAACAAAGCATCGATTAAGTAGAAGCATAGATGAAATCAAGGATGGAGTGAAACACGAATTTAATATCGACTTTGTGTGCTGAAATAGGTAAATTAAAGTAACAAAATTATGGAAAATAATTCAGAAAGCATGCACACGCAAATGCATCGATAATTGAAGCAGAGCATTGAAAGTTAGTAGAAAGTATGATCAACTTACTACGGACCTTCAAATTCAATAGAGGATTCTAAAAACTAGAACGAATGGATAATCACGCCATATGGTGTACCTGACGAACGACGATCAGAGGCAATGAAGGTTGAAGAAGTTACGAAGTAACAGAGGCAAGCAAAAAACGGCGCAGCTAGGGGAATTAATTTGCAGTTGAATGAGGCGCGCGTATTCAGGGGTAGTTTAGGAATGAAAAACCGTGACTAAGCAAAATACTCCTATTTAGGTAATTATTTAAACAGTACTCCTATTTTAGAATTTCCCTATTAATTTACTCCTATCTAAGGCAAATACTTTTATGAAAAATGACCGCACTTTACTTTTATACCACGCGTTGCATTATTCTCTATTTTTTACTCCGTATATCTTCTGTTTTAATTTATCCATCGACAACAAAATGAAGAGTTAAACGAAAAGGTCAGTCAATTTCTAGAAGGAAGAAAATAAAAAGTAATATATTGCATATATACTACCGTGTTTTGTGACTTTTAGAATTTTCACACTAACATTATTTACCTGCTCTATATAAGTTATACTACCTCCGTCCCTTTTTATTT